TAGCTAGCCCAAACGATCCCTTATTTGCTATAAGTCTATAGATGTGCTTGACCTGTCAGGACGCCGCCTGGTCTTCACTTGTCACGTGTGCACGTGATTCGTGACATTCACGTGCAGGGTGTTCATTTGATATACGGACGAATAGGCGTGTCTCTGGTCGTGGGGAGTTATATGCCTTGCTTCTCTGGGGGGGGCTCCCAGCTTTCCTGAGGGGTTGCTCTGGTGTGATTGGGAGGGGGGTAGAAGCTGCTGCTGCGTATGTTCTGCAGGAGGTTGGGGTAGCTTGGGTGTCAGGGGCTGCGTGTGAGGCGCTTGACGGCGTAAAGCTAGGCGTCTGAATATGTTTACGTAGAGGGGCACCTTTGATATATGACTCAAAGTGCTTGTTTACTACTTCTGTGATTTCTGTGCACAGGGTAGAGAGGGGTTTGCGGAGCCTTGAGGGGAGCTTTTGGACGTCTTCGGATTGTCTGTAGTCGTCCCAAAGAGCTGCGATAGGGCTGAACACAAGCCGGGCTTCCTCTGCGCGGGTTGTAGCTGCGTTTATAATGTTCTCTAGTTGGTAGGACATAGAGGTAGGCTGGGGGGGGGTAGCTGAGGATGTTGTAGGGGGCGGGGGGGCCATTTTTGGGGCCAACGCGCGTCTGCGCTAGGCGCGGCTGCGCTTTGCAAGGAGTAAGAGCTCAGTAGGTAGATATGATAGAGTGATTCAATAATAAAAACGCGTTAATATTACGCGTTTTTTATTTGTCTTGAAAAGGTTGTGTCCGAAAATACGAAGTAGTCGCGAATTTAAATACGCTAGTGCACATTATCACGTGCAATCAAGTTGTACAGGCGCTAATAAGTTCTTGAGCACAAGAGGTCGCGACTTCCTTTTCGCTATCGTTTTCAATCGCTCGCAATCATGGCGGGCGAATTTTTCTCTTCTTGCATCATCTGCAGAATTCCACTATCTTTTGGTCAAGACGATGTATATGAGAGTGACGATGAAGACTGGAGAAATAATTTGCATAACGAACTCCCCATCCATAGTTCTTGTCTAGCTATTGCTACCTCTGCCGCCACAAATCGCGAAAATGAACTTCTCGAGAAGCTCGGCCGCGATTCTCTACGTTACGACCTTTTTCCACTTCTTGAGATTATTCCCTGTCCAGAATCGGACCCTAACCAAATTTCGAAAAGCCTCGCTCTCGCCCTTGTCGAACAATGTAACAAAAGCTGGCATAAAACGCTTCCACCAGAAATCTATACATATATCGCCCACGAACTGACGAGCACTCAACTCGAAACAAATTCACCTATTCCTACATTGTGGTCTATTTATACAAGGATACAACAGCAAAGTAATCTAACAACAATACTTCGAAACGTCAAAATATTACTTTCGTGGCAGACTGTTGAGTTCTTCGGCTCTCGGATAGAAAAATTGCCGGAAGAAGTGCATCTTGTTCTTTGTGACGAACTTAGAGATCCCGATACGCCCGCCCTTATAGTTCAGGATATTGCGACAGTTACTGTTGAGGGATTGCCGAGGCGGATTGCCCTCCACTTTAACTTGGCATTAGAATGGAAATATCTCAGCGGCATCACGGTCAATGGCGAGACCCTTGGATACAAAGGTACTTCGGAAATAACTCTTGAAGTCACTAAAGGATCGCAAGGGCTTGTTTTCGCATTTAACCAATGGGGTGTTCAAGATGGGAGAATTGCAGATAGAGCGACATTCTCCTCTTCTTGTGAAGAGACTGCATATGCAGCTCTATACTGGCCGGAGGTTTCAACCAGGACTACGGTAATAGCCACATTTGATGTACGTACTTGATCCTCTATAACTGCATATAGAGCTAACGGAGTAGTCTTGTAAATGTATTGGTATAGGCATTCAAGGAGGGCGTATCTGGACCTCAAGATCTATTTTGAACCTTATTCAATCCCCTAGGCCACTCATCGACTGTTCTATCTCTCGGAAATGCCAAGTCAATTGGTGTCTTCAGAGGTTTGATTGTATTATTTCCGATATTCAATTATCTGCGAACCCAAGGAATTTAGCTATAGATCAAATCAGCTTCAAAGCCATTGATGGGTCTGTACGGAGTATTGGTCGGCATATGTCTTCCCACCTTCAGTTGTCGTTTCCTCTTTCGTGGAAGTTTAGTGAGGCACTATCACAAATTCGAGTTTGCCATAGTTCAGAGAAAGGTTTTATTACAATCCAAGTAAGTTAACCAAGTATTATATACCATGAGCTGTTATTGAAATGGCACTAGTTTGTAACAAGTTTTAACCGAGTAATTACTGTTGGGAATGTTCCTGAGAACGCTATTTGGAGCACTGTAGACTGGCCATCTTCAATATATGCTACATACGAGGTAAGTGAATGTTATCCATAGATTTACTAGATGATTTATGTTTTTAGTTTAACAAGACTGGATTCTGTCTTTTCGGAATTGATAGCCAGCTGCCGTTAATTGCATCTACAGGAACCTCGCGATCGGATTTCTCGGTTCCTTCAACCCTACCATTTACCCACTATGCCACAGCTTCTCGATTTGACAGAACAATAACTTTGGTACAGGCGCCTTTGTACCGGGTTACTTGTTTAAAAGTCTTCCAACATCACACCCCGCATATGTTAAGGTTGGGCGCTTATGTCTCGTATATTTGTGGGGTTCAATTGTTCTATGCTAATGGGTTGTCCATTATATTGGGCCAATTGGGGGAGGAGTCTGAGATACAAGTCGCTTCTACAATTATAGAACTGAAAGTCTGGGTCTTCCAAGATGAGGAATATGTGCAAATCAGAGGGTTAGAATTCCATTTCGGGGCAGGAGTAGATTTCCAAGCAGTAGGCGAGAGGCATGGGATTGAAACCAAGAATTTGCAAGCAGTCGTAAGTAATGAAGGAATCAAAGAGGAGATAACACTAATCGAAAATCTTAGGAGATGATAGAATGGGCTACAGGAAACATGCTCTCTGATGTTACAGGTCTGTCAAGGCACTTGGATACACGAGGATGAGTTGCAAGTATTGATTGGATGTAAGGAGAGAAGAGTTTAAAGATACACAACTATGTAGCGAGCGTTGCATCTGATTTTTCGCGCATTCCTTGAGCAATATATTAAACCATTATGTCATTTTTGTTCGGCGAATGGTACGATAGAGTTCAGTGAGTTGACCATCGTCAAGAGCCACATCTTGAAAATCCCCATTATCCTGGAAGTTGGCATCACCTGGGAAGTTGAACCCCCTGTCTTGTGCAAGCAATCTTTCTTCTCCTGCTCGTACATCGTACATCAAGAACCGCGTTCCGACGAGTTTGATAGCGAAAACATGGGTCTGCGGCCGTCCATTGGCTCGGGCGCTGACAAGAGCATTCACAGCATATCCTCGTAACTGCTCATCAGATATGTTGTCCTGTTGTGGTTCTTGATCCATAGGCTTGGCCTCAAGAACTGCCTTGATGATAAAATATGACCCATCTGTCGCCCATTTGATAAGCATCCAGTCGGGTCGGTAATTCCCTTGTTGCTGCTGTTGTGGGATAAGGATGAAACCATCTGTCCCATCCCACTCGCGAATGAGAATAGTGTTCCATAACCCTATAACCGGGTCCTCACTAGCACGATGTTGCAGGACAGAGCGATATTGGTGTGCAAGACCGATGTTATTGATATAACGACCTCCTTGGATAGACATAGCTAGTCAGATTAGCTCAACGTCGTTAAGACATATATATATTGTTCATACTTTGAGGAGGTATGCCAGTGATAGCAGAATGGCAGAGCGGATGGTACTGTAAACTTCACACAAGTTAATTACACATTTCGTGAAACCTGGCATAAGACTCATACCCGAGAGAGGAAAGCTCGATGAAGATGGTAGAATAGATAATATGTGTTTGAGTGAAGTAATAATCAGTAGAACCGGGTCAGTCATGACTATTTATCTTCGTTAATGTGGCACCACCCTTTGGAGAATGGTTTGGGACAGGTTGCTCATCCGTTGAGCAATTGGAGGATTGCTCCGGGTATAATTAAACCTAGCTACATGACTAGAAAACCAGGGAAATCTGGCATATGCATTGGAATTATCCATTTCCCTCAGAATCTCAGGGAGAACAGACAACAATGCCGTAGAGATCTTGTAACTTGCTTGCAAGATCCAGACTGGATTTGTCAGAAAAGACATATTATAACAATATACTAAATGAGAGAAATGAACCAAATTTATATTAAGTTTTCGCATCTTCTGCATAGGAGGGAAATTCCCGGTTGCTGAGCCTAGCCTTGCTCGGCACTGGGTCTCGCGTCACTTGGTGCTGGCGGCACCGGAATAATGGCTTCTTCTCGACCCTTTTCCCTCCTACTTCACCTTGTTCTGCTTTCACCTGTTCCCCTTTCTCACACTTCGACGACCGGAAAGGAAAATCCTCTGGACATGCTCCCTGCAACGTAATAAGAACCCTTGAATTTTGCGGTGGATAGCTGCAAAACATATATTAGTATGGCATAAATATAAAGTACCGCAGAAAGATGCTTACAGTAGAGTTGGCCCAAAAAAAGGCTCGTTAATATGCTGAGTCCCGGGTAGTTGATGAACTGACGGAGACAAGAGAGTTGGAGGCATCTTGCCACACTGTGAATTACTGCTGGAAGATGTGCCGTGAACTTCACACTGCTGTAAGGGAAGTGTATCCACATACGTGGAACTCAATTTTCCAACGCTATGGAGCCCGGGAGGTGTAAAAGTGAAAAGCCCTTGTCTTTTGAGAATTTGAATTAATTGAAATCGCAGAGTACAAATACTCGATGCCGTGCAGGAAACCTGACGATATTGTTAGCATAGTAAAGAAGCTGAGAAGGAGTAATTTACCCAAGCCGGTAGGATCAGTCGATTTGTTTGAATGAAGGCTGCAGGTACAAATATAAAAGGAATTGGTATAACTTACACAGAGTTGCCAACATATATCGAATAGGCCTACTCACACCCCGCGAAAGATAACAGTACCCAAAAAGGACTACAACATATGAAATTCCGCCGCTAGCATACAGGAAGCTTTCCCAAACCCATAAGGGAACAGCATAGATAAAACTGTTGAAATGTTAGCTGTGGTTAATAAGTCCAAGATTGATTCAAACCATAACAAATCCAATCGTCAGCAAGAGACTTATACAGGGTGATGCCCAAATGCAAACTTTATCCGGCTTTTCCCTGCCTCTGGAAAATATCCGGACATACTCAACCTAATCATATTAGCACAGAGTAGCACTTTAAGACACTAGAAATAAATACTTCGTACAACCCCAAGAAGCCAAAATTGAGAAGAATCAAGCCGAAATAGATTGTCTGGTATTTTTCATACATCTTAGAGGCTGAGAATACCAGGAGCCCCCCAGACCCAGCAAGGGAAAGGATACATATCCAGATGTGCCAGTTACAGAAGTTTCTCTTTTCGAGGCTGTACCATTTGCTCCCCATTTTGAAACAACCGCAAAGCCTGGTGCCAGCAAGTATAAGAGCAGTTAGAGAAAATGCGAGAGCGTCTCGTGAAGATCCGCGGAAGCAAGTAAAACTAACAGCGTAGATGCAATTGAGATCCTCATTTTGAAGACTGGTGGATTGGAGCTGTGAGAATGGGGAAAGCTTTATGAAACACTCCAGCTTCAGGAGCGGAAGAAAAATAGCCAGAACCAAACGAGACTATGAATTGGAAACAACTATTGATGTTGGAGTAGATTCTCATTGCCAATAGCTGCCCTACTTATAGATAATTCGAAAAAGAATTTAACTAGATTATTGAAAAGTGTTCACAAAGAATATAAAAATAGCACGGAGCTAACAAGTGAAAATGCAAAGCGGTCAGTCCATTGTGGCCTGCTGAGGTAAGACGGAATAGATACGTTCCGAAATCACTAATGGCTTTGAAATGCAGAGCAAAAGAAGAAGGGCCAGAAGATGTGAGTCCTAAGCCTCTTCTGTTCCCGTTAACAACAATACAAACCATAATGTTTCTGTCAGCCGCGCTCTCAAAATAGTTTGCAAGAAAGGTTAACTAGGCAAGCAGTATTCAAGAGAGCCCGAGGAAGTAGATAGCTCAACACTACCCGAGAAGAGAATAAGCAAATAAAGTTCCGCAGGGCTCGTTGGCATATCAACACACCAACATCCAACAGTTGGTTGTGAGATACCCTTTTTAAACGAGGCTTAGCTTGAAATCCAACTGGTGCCGCAAGATGAGGAAGAAAACAAAGCCGGTAATCGGCGCTTGACCTTGCTTTCAAGTTGAGTGACAGAACAGTGTAGCAAACTTTATGACTATTATTAGCAGATAGCCTCAGACTTAAAAGTAGACATTGCCTCCGAAATAATTGCTTCAATCCTCATTCTCTTAGAGCATTTCATATCATTCTCGATTGCAGCAACCCGTCGTCAAATTCCGTTTGAATCTTTTTAAGTCTTGTTCCTAGTGTGGGCAATAGTTATCTTAGTTCCGTTGGTTAGTTTGGTTAGTATAGTTCTCGAGATTTTTAGTACAGTTTTAAACGCAAAATCCAAACCGCTAGTTAATACAGTTTTGGCTATTGAAACTACGCAGTTTTAGTAGTTTTATAAGACTATTTTATAAAGCTCTTAATAGGGTGCTTTTATAGGGTTAAGGTTATACTAGTCAGAGCTCCTAAAGGACGGACCGGGGAAAGGGGCGCTACTAAGCTTAAAACGTAACTTTTTCGGCAATTTAGAGTATTCTAATTAGCTTAATCTTAATGTGACGGTTCTAACCGTCACCACCATTCGGATCACGTGGTCTCGCTTAGCGACCCACACCAAGTATTTAGATCGAAGCTCTCTCGAGCTCTCCTCTTCTCCTCAGCTTAGAATCTTTGTTTAATTGACAGTTCTACGATTCCACAACCTACAACGTGGGCCTTGCGTACGTGTCGTCCCATTATTCTAAGCTCTCTCACACTGCCTGGGAAGGCATACTGAATATCCCTTCCTCTCTATCCGTCGCGGTAGAAGGACCCCACGATCCTCAACTGCCTAGCCGCAGAGCTTTTCAAAAGGAGTTGAGAAGGCCTCGAAAGGCGACACCCTACGATCCTCAATCGAAGAGACTTGAGAAGATCCAGCGAGCAGAGTGCCCTGGATACGCCAATTCAGCAAACAGATCGACGTCGCAAGTACGACCTCACCTTTGCAACCANGAGTTGAGAAGGCCTCGAAAGGCGACACCCTACGATCCTCAATCGAAGAGACTTGAGAAGATCCAGCGAGCAGAGTGCCCTGGATACGCCAATTCAGCAAACACATCGACGTCGCAAGTACGACCTCACCTTTGCAACCAACCAACATATTCACCAATTGCCACGATGGCACCACCAACAACACGCTCTACAGGAGCACACCAAAAGAACCCCTCACGAGCAGGGCAAAGCTCTACCGACAATGCCGGCATCCAGAACGATGGAACCCAGCGGCAATCCTAGAGAA